GGTCAAACTTTTCAAATTTCAAACTTTCGCCATTTCAAGCCTAATTATAGACCTCCGAATCCGAATCCGGACACACTCCTAGGTCCAAAATCAACCAACGAAGCTAAAGGAACCATCAAAACTCCATTCCGGAGTCGTTTACACATAAGTCAATATTCGATCAACCTTTTCAACTTAAGCTTCCAACTTTGAGACTAGGTGTCTCAATTCATTTCGAAACCTCTCCGGACCCAAGCCGACTAACCCGGTAAGCCATGTAACAGCTATAAAGTACAATGTAAGCAGGAAAGAAGGGAACGGGGCTAAAACTCTCGAAACAACCGGCCGGGTCGTTACACAAACTCCCACCAACAAAGTAGAAATTAAGGTAGCAAACCAATTAGCTACCATAATTCCTGAGAAGATTCTTTGTTTCACAAGACAGCATAAGGAGTTCTCCAAGTAAAGTGGGCAGACCCCATCTTCAGTCCGCTTGAAATCTTGCACCAACTTGCCCACCATAATGACCAAACTTAAATTATTTTTAGGGCCTATCTTCCTCCCTGCCCTAAATTCCAAACAAAGGTCACTACCCCGTACGTCCATATTAACACCACTTTCCACCATCATGAACCGCTCGGAATTGAACTCAAGTCTTCCACATATCAGAATCATGTTAATCGATCACATATTAACAATTGTTATTACATGGGAAGGAACAACCATATTGTTGCTAAGTTGAGCGTCAGATGTAGAAAGTTTCATGCACAAGAGAGGTGAACTTGGAGGATGAACTCTTAGAATATTCTTCACTACTGCTTGTAAATATGGCATCCCAGCAGTGTCAGTATCAATCACAAGTTTTCCCAGTGTATCATTGTGAACTTCTTCTTACAAAGTTGTTTGCGCCTCTTTTACACCTCTTGTGCACATATTTTGCACTTAATTTCCTTTGTGCAATAGTAAAATTATAACTCTCTAAGAGAACTTAAGTAACTATAAAAAAATTGTTACACATGAATTTATATGCCTTTGTATATTCAATGTGTAAAAAGAATTCCCATGGTCGGTTCCCAACATGCATTTCACTCAATATTACAGATTATATCTACCAGTGTGTTGTATGTAAATTCTAAAATAGATAACAAAAAGATGGACTTAATAAAGAATAGCCACCATTCATCTTCTTCTAGCTTTTCTTTTCCATCGAGAGACAAAGGAACATCAACAAAATTAGTATTATCATACACTATTTTGGGTTTAGTTTGGCGCTTGTAATCGTCAATGATACCTTTAATTTAGAAGAAAAAATAATGATAGCAACAACATACATTAAATCCCGAAATGGAACATTTCTCTAAATGGCCATAACAACTAGAGGATCTTCTTTTTTTACTTTTTGGCATTTTACATGAAGGAGTGAAAGAAAAAATTAAAGTAGGGACTAAAAGTTGGAAAATCAAACTCCCACCAACAAAGTAAAAATTAATGTAGCAAACCAATTAGCTGCCATAATTCCTGAGAAGATCTTCGTTTCACAAGACAACATAAGGAGTTCTTTCAAGTCAAGTGGGAAGACACCATCTTCGGCCCGCTTGAAATTTTGCACCAACTTGACCACCGTAATATCATAATGACCAAACGTAAATATCCAGGGCATATCCTCCTTCCTGCCCTAAATTCCAAACAAAGTTCACCACCCCTTACATCCATATTAGCATCACTTTCCACCATCATGAACCGGTCGGGATTGAACTCAAGTATTTCACACATCAGAATCATGTTTAATAGATCACATATTAACAATTGTTATTGCATGGGAAGGAAGCGTTAGATGTAGAAAGCCTCACGCACGAGAGAGGTGAACCTGGAGGATGAACTCTTAGAATATTCTTTACTACTGCTTGTAAATATGGAATTCTAGCACTGTCAGTATCGATCGCAAGTTTTTCCAATGTATCATTGTGAAGTTCTTCTAACAACTTTTTTTGCGCCTCTTTTACACCTCTTGTGCACATATTTTGCACTTCATTTCCTTCGTGCAATAATAAAATTATAACTCGCTAAGATAACTACAATAACTATAAAAAAATGAATTTATATGCCTTTGTATGTTCTATGTGTAAAAAGTATTCTAATGGTCGGTTCCCAACATGAATTTCAGTCAATATTACATATATTTTCTATCATTGGTGTTGTATGTAAAATCTAAAATAGAAAACAAAAAGATGGACTTAATAAAGAATAGACACCATTTATCTTCTTCTAGCTTTTCTTTTCCATCGAGAGACAAAAGAACGTCAACAAAATTAGTATTATCATACACCATTTTAGATTTAATTTGGCGCTTGTAACGTCAATGATGTAAAAAAAATGATAGCAGCAGCATACATTAAATCCTGAATGGAACATTTCTCTGAATGGCTGTAACGACGAGAGGATCTTCTTTTTTAACTTTTTGGTATTTTACATGAAGAAATGAAAGAAAAAATTAAGTAGGGACTAAAAGGTGAAAAACCAAACTCCCACCAACAAAGTAGAAATTAAGGTAGCAAACTAATTAATTAGCTGTCATAATTCCCGAGAAGAATCTTCGTTTCACAAGACAACATAAGGAGTTTTTCCAAGTCAAGTAGGCAGACCCCATCTTCAGCCCGCTTGAAATTTTGCACCAACTTGACCACCATAATATCACAATGACCAAACTTAATTTATTTTTAGGGCATATCCTCCTTCCTGCCCTCAATTCCAAACAAAGGTCACCATCCCTTACATCCATATTAGCACCACTTTCCACCATCATCAACCGTTCGAGATTGAACTCTAGTCTTCTACACATCAAAATCATGTTTAATAGATCACATATTAACAATTGTTATTGCATGGGAAGGAACAATCATATTTTTGCTAAGTTGAGCGTCAGATGTAGAAAGCCTTGCGCATGAGAGAGGTGAACCGGGAGGATGAACTCTTAGAATATTCTTCACTACTGCTTGTAAATATGGCATCCGAGCAGTGTCAGTATCAATAACAAGTTTTTCTAATGTATCATTGTGAACTTCTTTTTACACCTTATTTTTCTCCTCTTTTACACCTCTTGTGCACATATTTTACACTTTATCTCCTTCGTGCAATAATAAAATTATAACTCGCTAAGACAACTTAAATAACTATACAAAAATTGTTACACATGAATTTATATGCCTTTTATATTCTATGTGTAAAAAGTATTCTCATGGTCGGTTTCTCACATGCATTTCAGTCAATATTACAGATTATATCTACTATTTTTGTTGTATGTAAAATCTAAAATAGATAACAAAAAAATGGACTTAATAAAGAATAGCCACCATTCATCTTCTTTTAGCTTTTCTTTTCCATCGAGAGACAGAATAACGTCAACAAAATTGGTATTATCATACATCATTTTGGGTTTAATTTGGCGCTTATAATCGTCAAATGATGCCTTTACTTTAGAAAAAAAAACACACACAATGATAGCAGCAACATACATTAAATCCTAAAATGGAACATTTCTCTGAATGGCCATAACAACGAGAGGATCTTCTTTTTTTACTTTTTGGTATTTTACATGAAGGAGTGAAAGAAAAAATTAAAGTAGGGATAAAAAGGTTGAAAATCAAACTCCCGCCAACAAAGTAGAAGTTAAGGTAGCAAACTAATTAGCTTCCATAAATCCTGAGAAGATTCTTCTTTTCACAAGACAGCATATGGAGTTCTTCCAAGTCAAGTGGGCAGACCCCATCTTTGGCCCGCTTGAAATTCTGCACCAACTTGACCACCATAATATCATAATGATCGAACTTATATTATTTTCAGGGCATATCCTCCTCTCTGTCCTAAATTCCAAACAAATGTCACCACCCCTTACATCCATATTATCACCACTTTTCACCATCATGTGCCGCTCGGGATTGAACTCAAGTCTTCCACACATTAGAATATGTATAATAGATCACATATTAAAGTGTAACATTGTGAACTTCCTCTTGCAACTTTTTTTGCCTCTATTGCATGTCTTTTGCACTTTATTTCTTTTGTGCAATATTAAAATCATAACTCGTTAAGTAGCTCAATAGCTATACAAGAGTTGTTATACAGGATTTATATGCCTCTATATATTGTATGTATAAAAAGTATTATCACGGTAGCATGATTTATCGGTTCACAACATGCTATTCAATCAATTTTACAGATTATATCTACCACTTGTGTTGTACATAAAACCTAAAATATAGACAACAAAAAAGATGTACTAATTAACTAAATAATAGCCACCTTTTCTTTTCCATCGAGAGATTAGAACACCGACATAATTAGTATTATCATACACCATTTTGGGTTTAGCGGAGCACTTGTATTTGTAGATGATGCCTTTGAAGAATCTTCTAACATGGAGCACAAGAGCTTCGCAAAAAAAATAAAAAAAAAATAATAAGGGACGTACAATAATAACAAACAGAGCGAGAACCTCACAAGTGGGTTTGGGAAGGGAAAAAAGATAACGGACTATATAGACAATACGGGGTGCTCAATCCTACGTTAGTAAATTAGAGCCCGTTTGGATTGGCTTATTTTATGTGCTTTAAAGCCAAAATAGCTTTTAAACTATTTTATAGTGTTTGGATAAAGTAAAAAAGTATTTTTAGGCACTTGTTGTTAAGCTAAAATGTACTTATAACTTTTGCTTAAAACTCACTTACAACAAGCCCATCCAAACGGGCTCTTAGCCTGTGGTTATTCGAGCTATAAAATGTACTTCAAAGTTTTAGGATAGGACAATCATGATATAAAAATCCTTATTATTTTATTGCATTTGGTATGGAGTACAAAGTTTCTGATTTTTTAGTTAATCTCCGCATAACTAATGTACAACGTTTGGTTTCCAGTATGGTTGTTGATTTGTTGTATGCTTGGCTTCCATGCTTGTACATTTCTCCTTACCCCCCCCCCCCCCTCCAATTCTAACAAAACGCTCCCCAATTTGAGATTGACCTCCATTATCTTTTCCAACATTGACCTCCATCAAAGTAACCTCGATCCACCACCTCACCTACAACCCCCCCCCCTCCCCTGCCATTTCAGCTCTGTACATAATATTTCTTTTCTTTAGTGTCGTAGAGGAAATTATGGCGGATCTTGGCACTGCAGACCCACAATCTCAGCTCATACCAAACCTCCCAGACGATGTAGCATTACAGTGCTTAGCCAGAGTCCCACGTTCCCATCACCCTATTCTCTCTCTCGTCTCCAAATCCTGGCGCTACACCCTAAGCTCCACTGCACTCTACTCCACCCGGTCAATTCTACGTACTACCGAAACTTTCCTCTACCTCAACCTCCGCATAAACTCCACTTTCCACTGGTACACTCTCTTCCAAAACCCTAACTCACAAAAATCCAGAAAGCTTTTTCCCCTTTCTTCAATACCCTGTAAGCCCATTGGATCGGCTTATGCAGTTTTGGGCCCAAAGATTTATGTGATTGGTGGGTCCATTGGTGAAATCCCTTCGAATAATTTGTGGGTTTTCGATTGTAGGTTTAATTGTTGGGAAATGGGGCCAAGAATGAGGATTGGTAGGGAGTTTGCTGCAGCTGGGGTTGTGAATGGGAAGATTTATGTAATGGGTGGGTGTGTTGTAGATAATTGGGCTAGGTCGATGAATTGGGCTGAAGTTTTTGATCCGTTAACGGGGTTATGGGCTGCGTTGCCTAGTCCAATTGAGGTTAGAAACAAGTGGATGCATGCTAGTGCAGTGGTGGGTGATAGGGTGTATGCAATGGCGGATAGGGGAGGGGTGGTGTATGATGTTGGGGGTGGGGAATGGGGGAGTGTAACGAAAAGGCTTGATTTGGGGTGGAGGGGACGAGCCGCGGTGGTGGGAGGAGTGTTGTATTGTTATGATTATTTGGGTAAGATTAGAGGGTATGACGTGAAGGAAGATGTGTGGAAGGAATTGAAAGGGGTGGAGAAGGGGTTGCCTAGGTTCTTGTGTGGCGCGACAATGGTGAATTTCGATGAGAGGTTGTGTGTTGCATGGGAAGGCAAGAGGAACGGAAAGGAGGTTGACATTATGTGCGCAGAGATTGAAGTTTGGAAGGACAAGGATGGAGGGTTGAGTGGGAACATCTTGTGGTCGGATGTGATTCTTGTTGTTCCTAATGGTGCTTCAATTGTGCATTGCTTTGCAGTTGACTTGTGATGTTTACTTCAGACAAGGTGCGGCTATTCTCTAGCTTTTGTTAACCATTTGAGTGAATTGGTATTTTGTCCATGATAATCTGACTGTTTGCTGTTGTCATTTCATTTATTTTCTTTAGCCTTTTCAGTATTTGGTGCTTCTGATAGTTAACTCAGAAGTTAATGCTTCTGATATAAAAGCTTTATTGACTTGGGCCAGTTGGTGAGTAACACTAATTAACTCATACACTTGGTCCTGTTAATTCACAATGTTGTGAATAATTTGGGTTTACTGGCTATCATATAGCATTTTTTATATGTGTATTCTGTTTGAAAATAAGATGTATTAGACCGAATTCACAATTCACTCACTAATATGTAGTTTGTGGATTGTCACTACTTTGTGTGGTAGATGTGCTTATGGTGTTCGAATTAACTTAATATGAAAGAGTGGACAGGACCTTTAAAGTCAATACTAGTTGAAGTAGGATTTGTAGACTTCTTATTTGTCTATGACATGATCCATGCATGTTCTTTTCATCATTGTTAACTCTTTAATATGCTATGTCCATTTGTTCAATTAGTTTTCCTGGAAAATGTTGAAAATTGGAAAAAAATTCTTTAGGGGTCCAGGAGGTCAATTTGGGTCATAAAGTCGAATTTTGCTGAATATGAAGAGTTGGAACTATCTAATAAAGCTTAATTCATGTTAACTGTCAACGCATCACAAGTAGCACAAGTGCCTTTGTGTGCTTTAGATGGAATTTGCTTTAAATCATCAAATCTTCTAGCTTGCTTTTATAAAGTTGCTCTATTAACCTATACCGATCTAAAAAGGAAGAAAGATTGCTGCAGTAACGTTTATGACTCTACAGCAAAATCCTGCATAATTATTTGCAGTGATGCTACAATCATCTCCACATAAAGAGCCAAAAACATAACTGACAAGCAAGGTTAGAGAGCCAAAAACCCTATAACATTAAGCACTTAAAAGAAAGCCAAAAATTGAGGAGCAAGATTTTTGATTACTCGGCTAAATCAACCTATCATTAACGGAAGCTAAGGTACCGTCTTCTTACCCTGTCTAGATCCCCAAATTTCAATCTTCAATTTTCTGTTATTTTGTTTATTTTGCTACTTTTTGAAGTGTCATCTTTTTGTTCAATTCTGGTTAAAAAGTGAACTCCTAGTGATTGCTTTTGTGGGGGGTCTCAAAGATATAAAATTTATAAGCATTATAGTGGCGAAAATTTTCTTTGTATTCATTACTAAATAACACTGCCATATCTTTTAATTTGGTGGTGAATTGATAGGAGCGGGACACAAACATGTTTGTTGCTTTTTCAAATTTATTACCAATAGCAATGTACCTTGTTTGTATGTTAAGAATTTGTCTTCAAATAAATGAGATAAAATATAGGTACAAGAACTTTCTGTGAGGAAAAGGATAAATTGAATTTTTGTTCTAAAAGAATAACCAAGATAAAATTTACATCTTTTTCTTTGTTGTTTGCTTTCTCTCTTATGTTTAGAAAAGATTTCTTTTTGGCTTTTTGTGATGTACAATAGCCACATGATTTTGTTTGTTTATTGCTTCTTGTTTTATTCATGATTTTGTTTAAAGAGTCTTTTGAATCAATTAACAAAAGCTATGTACAACAACAAAAGGTATATTTTTTAGTACTTGAACTATGTGTTTGGTTTTCTTATACTTTTAAAGATTTTGTCTCATGTCCATAAAAGAAAAATAGTCTACTTTCAAACTCATTGAAAGAGATGGTTATGTAAAGTGTGCAATGATTTCTAAGAGATCCTTTGATATTATAAACTTTGTCACTACAGGCCATCATTTGGAGTTGAATAAACTAGTTTTTATTGTTGTGGTTTATCTTTCTTTTAGAAAAACTTATGAATAATTCTACTGAGTTGCCTCTCTCAAATTTTTTTAATAAACAATTAAAGTTTGATAAAATTGCATATTGAGGTTTTACTCAATTGTAGTAGTTGGCTACTTACAACATTTATCATTAACATTTGTATTTATGGAGAAATATTGTAATATCTTGCAAATGCTTGTTTGTAACAAGATATGGGCGGGATGGTGTTCGGTAAAGAACTAATCGCTTGACTGATAATCATGACACGAGATCTATTAAGAGTTTCAAAAAGGCATTTGCTAAAGAAAATCTGTCCGCACAAAATGTAGAAAAAGTTTTTTTTCCAGGTAATTGCAATAAAACTTTGAGCAATATTAAATTCATTATTAATTTCTTTTTCAACTAGACAAACTTTGCGTGTTCGTTTTACCTATCTAGTTAACTCATGTTCAATGATATCTTAGAAGCGTGGACATGTCTAGAGAATTGGCAATTAGCTACTGTTATAGTAGTTATTTTACACTTTCTCCCTCTAGAAAATATGTAAGTGGCATTTGATGAAAACAAGCATTGACGCTGATTTCATATGTTTCTTTGATATGGTGGATGATTTGAAAAAGCATTGTATTCTTGAGGGAGATAAATTTTTTTCCATTTGCGAGGTGATAGAGTTATCCAGTGATTATGATGGGCTAGTGGAACGCCGTGAAGATTCAAATGTAAAGATTATGTATATTAGTTACGAGGGGCAGAAGGTGTTGAGATTTATACACTCCTAAAAAATTATGATATTTTTGTGAGTATTTTTCTCGAAAAAAATAGTCTTAGGGATAGTTTGTCTGAAGTGGGGAGCAAAACGTTTGTGGAAGAACACGAATCAAAAATTCAACTTGTGATCTTTTTTTGTTGATCATAGTAAGTGGACAATTGATGAAAATAATCATCGACGTAGATTTCATATGTTTCTTTGCGGAATGATTTGAAAAAGTACTGTAACTTCAATATTCTTAAGGGAGATAAGCTCTTTTATTCGAGAGGTGATATAGTTATCAATGATTATGATGGGCTAGTGGCGTTGTGGAGATTTAGATGTTAAGAACATTCTTGTTAGTTACGAGAGGCATAAGGAGAAACCCATTGAGATTTATACACTCCCGTAAAAATTGTGATCTTTATGAGTACTTTTTCGGAGAAAATAGTTCTAGGGATAATTCGTTTTAAAAGCTAAACGAAGCAGCCGAGGAAGAACATAAATCAACAAATTCAACATGTATTCTTTTTGTTGATCGTAGTCACTTCTGTCGTCACTTCTACTTGACGTATATTTATCTAATCTTTAAATGTAAGTTCCAACGCTGTGAAAAGAAAAATCAGAGGTCCTATGTGGTGCATGAAAATAATCAACTTTACAAGAGAGACCAAAATTGTTGGTGGAATTTGTTGAGGATATCTAGCTATTGGTGAGAATCTAAGTTGCTCGGACTTGGATGCGGGTATCCGATACGGGGACGGATCCGAGTATTGGATTCGGCAAAATCTAAATTTTCAGATTCGGGGGTGCGGATCCGGATATGGATACGGGTGCAGGGATTCGGCTAATAAAAAATAGAGCTATAAAAGTATTGTAAATTTTGAGAGATATTCTGTGAAAAACATACATAAATATTATAGAATTCAATCTTTCATTCTCCAAGATGGACATTATTCTTTCATTCTCCTAAATCTGTTTTATTTTTTTTTTTATTTTGAGAAATCAAAATCTCAATTTTTCTCCCAAATTTGTCGATGGACTCCGGTTAAAGTGTCCGAAGTCAGTTGACCGAATCCGGGACGTAACCCGCTCCTGTCCCATCTCATATCGGGACGGGGACGACACCAAAATCGAAGAGTCCGCGCAACTTAGGTGAGAATGCAACCCAATTTTATTTGGTTTTTGGGCCAAACATTTAGAAATAGAACTTGTTGACCTTTAAAAGTAAATGTTTGGTAAGAGATTGAGCAAGAAAAATTGAAAGCATTCTCCGCAATAGCTTGATGTTCCTCATGCATTTTTTGCAAGTTTCCAATAAAAGTAATTATTTATTAGGTTTAAAAACATTGAAAAATATTCTTAAAAAAGCAATGAAAACATTTACTTTTAAAGAGCAACAAGTTCGACTTCGAACTTTTTGCTTTGGCCCAAAAACCAAATGAATTAGGTTATATTCTCACCAATAGCTTGATGATCCTCAAAAAATTCCATCGGCGATCTTTGTATCTCTTGTAAGTTGATTATTTTCATGCACCTCGTACGCCCTCTGATTTTTCTTTTCTTAATGTTGGAACCTACATTTAAAGATTAATTAAATATATTTCAAGTAGAAATGTCGATAAAAGTGACTAAGATCAATAAAAAAATACATGTTGAATTTGCTGATTCATGTTCTTCCGTAACTACTTCCACTTAGCTCTTCAAACGAATGATCCCTAAAACTATTTTCTCTGGAAAACTACTCATAAAAATATCATAATTTTTACAGGAGTGTATAAATCTCAAAAGGTTTCTCCTTATGCCTCTCTTAACTAACAAGCATGTTCTTAACATCTGAATCGTCACGACACCACTAGCCCATCCTAATCATTGATAACTCTATCACCTCTCAATTAAAAGAGCTTATCTCCCTTGAGAATATTGAAGTTACAATACTTTTTCAAATTATCCAGTGAAGAAACATATGAAATCTACGTCAATGCTTGTTGTCATCAAATGTCCACTTACATATTTTCTAGAAGGAGAAAATACAAAATAGCCATCATGATGGTAGTTAATTGCCAACTCTCTTTGCATGTCCATGCTTCATGATTTTAGCTAGATGTGATTAAACAAACATGCAGTCTAATTGAAAAAGAATGACAATATTGCACAAAAGTTTTATTGCAATTACTTGGATAAACAACTTATTCTAGATGTGGAAATTTTTTTCTAGATGCCTTCTTGGAACTTTTAACTGGTTCCATGTCATGATTATCGGTCAAGCGACTAATTCTTGTTCGAAGATCATTCATACCTATGTCTTGTTACAAACAACATTAAAGTACTTTTCCATAGATGGTATTTGCTGGAAGTAGCCAACTATTACAATTGAGTAGAATCTTAAGATGCAATTTTATCAAACTACAGTGGTTTATAAAGAAAAATAAATCTAAGTGAATCAACCCAATTAGTAATGATTTATAAGTTTTTTTGTAAAAAGATAAACCATATCAATAAACATTAAAGTACTTTTCCACAGATGGTATTTGCTGGAAGTAGCTAACTATTACAATTGAGTAGAATCTTAAGATGCAATTTTATCAAACTACAATGGTTTATAAAGAAAAATAAATCTAAGAGTCTGTTTGGAAAGCCACCCTGTAATTGGAATTGGTGTAATTACTAGGGTAGTAATTACACAGCCTAGTAATTACACAGTTGTGTAATTACGACGACATGTTTGTTTGTCATAGTGTAATTACAGTGTAATTACAAGTTTACTGTTTGGTTGCACAAGTGTAATTACACAGTTAGATTAAATTTTAAATTAAGTAATTATCAAAACT